TTAGGTCTCAAAGGTTAAGCCATCTTTGAGCCGATACGCAAAGCAATAAGCAGAACTCGGTCAACAAAACATCATGTGTACATGTGTCTCTTTCCTTGCTCTTCTCTATTTTGCAATTGCTTCTTAACAAGAACATTCTCTTGAAGGTTGAAGACCACTCGATAAGTAGCAAATCCCTTCTCATGAACACATGGACTAAGCCTAAACTACTTGTTCCCTTCTTTTCATGTTAATTTATCTTAATTTAGGATATTATTTGTCTGCAACACGTGTTCTAAAATTGGTATCAGAGTAGGTCTGTAACGTGGAAAAAAATCCAAGGATAGAAGCTACAAGCTCGTCATCGAGAATGATGAATCACTTGTCCCCAATCACAAAAGCTGAAGGACAGTATGAAACAAGACCTCCAAAACTCGACTCCAACAGTTCTGCCTTCTCGAAAGGTTATATGGAGGACTTCCTACAATCCTATGACATGAAGGTCTGAATGAATATTAAATAAGGACTAGAGAGAGTTGAGAATGACATCGAGAGTTGGTCGGAGAAAGATCTAGTAAGTCTAAATTAATGCTCCACAGTCGAAACTTCTTGCTTCGTCGGCTAACAAAGTGAACTTGACGATCTCTGAACCACGAATGTCCCAAGACAATGCTGCGAGGGAGATTGTAGACCACGTCACATGTAATTTGATCCTCATATTGTCCGATTGAAAACTTCACAGCCAGCTGGGAAAATACTAAATTGGAACGTTCTTCGTACTGCGACTGAAACGTGTATGGTTTTGGATGCGGCTGCGTTTGCAGCCCAAGCTTGCTCAAAACCCTAGAGGAAATCAAATTCCTCTCCCTGCCTCCATCAACCAGAACCAAACACAGCTACTCCTCGATTAAACAACGCGTGAAGACCATGGAATTTGCTAACTCTGCTGCCGCCATTGGTACTCTGCTTTCCTATGATTTTTGCGACTGAATTCGACGAACACAGCCTTGATCAAACCTTCTCGCCACTGACTTTAACCTAAGGCTCTGATGCCACTTGATAAGGCACCAGTGGGTGCTTTTGATCAGAATACACAGCTAACACAAACAATCCAACGATAATGATGGAAAGGTAAAATTCTCGCCACAATCAAGGTGATTACTCGATTGATAAGAGAACTTGCTAAACGATGCTGGAATCCTCCACAGATTATCTTGAACAAAGGTCTTGAAATTAGCTAAGAAATCTACTCGAAGCTAAAGACAATAGGTAACTTCTCGAGACACACTCAAGAACTCAAAACACTCACGTAGGAGCAATTTTCATTCAACAATAATCTTCTGTGCTTTACAACGAAAACTAGAAAGGTATTTAAAGGCAAATAAACCTAATACAAACCTAATAGAGCTAGGAAACAATTAAGGTAAAAATCTACTCTAACAAAGAATCAAAATTCGGGTTTAAACTTCCTTTCTTGAAGCACAAGTAAGCTGCCAGCAAACAGTCCAAAAGCAGTTTTCGTAGAAACTTCACGCCTTTCGTTCGAGGCCTTCCAGAACTCCGATCTTTCATCCAATTCCTTATCTTTGTAGATAAATATACCTATTTTCATGTTTTGGAAGCCTCTGGACTCGAATAAACTCCATGCTCCTCGAATTGACATCTTCTGTGTGGGCTTCACAAACACGTTTCCAGACTTAACCATTTTCTAGCAGTTTTCGAGTTTTTAGGTAGCAACTTTGAGGCATTGGAAAACAACGTTAATGGCATCTTCTGGATCCAAAAAGTATACGATTGGAAATATGGCAACTTTATCTTTAAAACAAGACCTTGATCTCCAATTTTCATTGAGCCATTTGTGAGATGCATGCTTTCAAAGTAGGTACACTGAACACGAATTTTGACTTAGCCAAATTCTGTCCTTCTTCTTCCCAACTTCGATAGCTTCTTCGTCAAGTAAATTAAACGTGTATAACTGACCATTTGGGATCATATTAGTTCGTCATCGAGTCCCCATAGGCATTGATGTTTTAGTAGGTCCTGCATCTTGGTCTGCCATGTTCTTCCCCATAGGCATTGATGTTTCAGTAGGTCCTGCATGTTGGTCTGCCATGTTCTTCCCTGTGAACTTTTTGATCTTCATATTAACTGAAGTTTGCATTTCGAAAGTCCAAAAACTGAAGCCAACCAGCGGCTCTAATTATACCACTTGTCATGGACGGATTGAGGTAATCGACAATGAAAGAAAAATAATGATAGCCAGAAGGAAAAATAATTCAAGAATGACATGTGACTTCCATGACGACATGTAATCCATGGGGAGTTTAGTGATAAGTGGGAGGTGTTTTGATTAAGAAGTATACCGACTGTCTAGTGAGTTATAGTTATCTTGAAATCATTATTCATCATAAAGCAATTATCGAACCAGACGTAATTATGCATGGATGAGGATTTTAAAAGGTAAATATTGTTTGTTAGATTTTGTGAAGAAAAAGGGTCAGTTGTTGACTTGTTGTATTAGGGAGGTAACTGCTACTTCAAAGAGTGCTGGTGTCTTTTAGCTTTAATTATTTAAGAACCGATGAAACAAACTCTTTTGTATCTATCAAAGAAATGTAAAAGTGCCTGCTGCCTCATCAACATGATAACTCTTTTTACCAACTTGTTTTGTTTGATTAGTCTAAAGTATAAACAACCAGTGGGGAGGCTGAGACTAGTTAGTGGTTAAGCTAGTCATTAGGCCGTCGATATTGGGAATTTCAATAACAATTGTATCGTTTGGATAGAGTATTTGTATGAATGTCCTTCCTACAAACTCTCATAATGCTGAAAATTTTGAATAGAGTGTGTTCTGATGGAGAATCTTAAGATATGAAAATGAGGTTTTGTACTCGATTCCAAATCCAAGCAAAATACAAACGATCACATTCTTAAATCATATAGAGGATACACAATTGTGCAAATGATCTACCTTGCTCCCTAATGGCTCAGCCATTGAGTACTGCATATATTTACTGCTGTTAAGAGTCCAAAATTGACCTCGATCGATTTATACACAAAAACATCAATAATATCATTTGAATGGTAATAGACTTTCCTCACATCATCTAACAAAGCATTTTATGACACCTCATCTACTAAATAACACTGATTAGTAGTATGTAAATGTAATTTCACTAATCAATTAGGTTAGGATTGGTAAGAGACTTTCCCACGTTTCCCCTCACTTGAGTTAATATATATAATCCCCCTTTGGGTATAAAGGAGCAGAGCCCGGCCCCCATTGTATTTGTAACGAACTACGTTTCTCACTCTAGAATACAATTCGCAGATTGATTATTCTCTCTTTTGAACAATTCTCTACTACAAACAATTCTTTTATCGGCCTCAAAATCGATGATGCTCCATATTGTCAAAGAGGGGACAGATCTAGGTGAGTTGAGTTTGCATCTTTTGTGTTTTAGTATTTGTTTGTGAATTAATTCCGATCTTCTTCCTCTTTTTCTTTCTTTTTGCATTCGGTGTTCTTCATTGCGGAGGAGTAAATGACAGGAGACAGAAGACAAGTTTTTTTTCCTCTTCCTCCTTCTGTTTCCCCTTCTTTGAAAATATATATTGAGATTACCACACTATACCATATGGTAATGTGTCGATACCATATGGTATTGACACATTACCATATGGTAATGTGTCGATACCATATGGTATTGACACATTACCATATGGTATCGACACATTACCATATGGTAATGTGTATATACCACACTATACCATATGGTAATTTGTATATACCATATGGTAATTTGTATATACCATATGGTAAAGTGTCTATACCATATGGTAAAGTGTCTATACCATATGGTAAAGTGTCTATACCATATGGTAAAGTGTATATACCATATGGTAATGTGTCTATACCATATGGTAAAGTGTGGTAACGAAATGTATTTTTATGGATATCGTGTTTTACTATGGTCGTAAAAGGGTTGTAATTAGATTTATATTATTTTTGTATGGTTTTAACTTCTCATACCATGTGGTATTGTATGGTAATTACAATTAATTTGTGTTCATTCGATTAACCATGTTCTACTATGTTGGCATTGTATGGTAGTTAGATTTACCATATGTTGATATTACCACACTATACCATATGGTATTGGGTGGTAACGAAATATATATTGATATTACCACACTATACCATATGGTATTGGGTGGTAACGTAATATATATTGATGTGACAAATTTTTTCATACCATATGGTATGGTCAATACCAGTCATTACCATATGGTATAGATTGGTAATAACTGACAAATTTTTTTATGTCTGAAAAATATCAAAGTGGATATCATTTTGAAGAGCACAATTAATCTGATCTAACTGTGCAAAAAAAATTAAATTCCGACTTAAAACGAGTGAGAAATCGTCCGTTAAAGATTAAGAGAAGGAAAATTAAAGGTTGTTTGAGGAGAGAGAAGGCGCTGATGTGATCTGGTCAGCGTCAGCGCGTCAGCGCGTCAGCGCGTCAGAGACATCATTAAATAGAGGGTGCAATTTTACCTTAGTGCCCCTCCGTATTTTTTTTAAATAAAAAGAAAAAGCTGACACGTGGGGGCCAGAGGAAGGGGTTATTGATGGTTACTGAGGTATTGGTTACTGAGGGGATCCGCTCCCTGACTTCTTGGTATAAATTAAAAGACAAGAATTGAGAGAATACTATATAAGTATTAAAAGTTAAAAACATGTTCCCCAATGGGGAAATCACTCTTTCTTTCACTATAAAAAAAAACATAAATAAATGAAAAGCCACACATAGCAAATCGACGTCGATCTTTCTACTTGTTCAAAAAGTTTTGTTTCGGGGACAAAACAAAATTTAAAATTACCCCAAAATTGTTTTCTTATTTTATGCCCTTATACCACTTAAAATCATGTGCATGTTCTAAGACAAATTATAATGGCTGTTTTGTTCCCTATTCTTCCTAATTATGTAGTGAATGAATAAAATCATTTGAATGGCATGTGCTGCCTGCAGAGCCATGGACCAAGTTTTGGCGTGCCGACCGGAAGAAGGGATGGCCGGATCTCCAGCCTTACCCTGGCAAACGATCTGCCAGATGTCAACGACCCAATTGAGGTTCTAAAATCGAAATTTCATGCCAAGGGATTGTCCACCAAGGATCTCGTCCTCCTCACCGCCGGTAAATATATAATTAATTAATAATACTTACGCGGAAATTAATTAGTTTCCGAAATTAGTTTATTATTATTATTGTGATTTGTTTCTTCAGGTGCCCACACCATCGGCACATCGGCTTGCTTCTTCATGCCGCAGCGTCTATATAACTTCAATGGCCACAACGACACCGACCCTAGCATCAATCCCAAGTTCCTGCAGCGCCTCAAATTAATATGCCCCTTGGGCGGCTCTAGCTTTCAAAGGCTGCATCTCGACTGGTCCTCGCAATTCCAGTTTGATGATCATATTCTGCGCAACATCCTCAACGGCTTCGCAGTCTTGGCCTCCGACGCTCAGCTGGTGGAGGATGGAACCACCAAGCGGTTCCTGCAGTCGTACGCTGGGGGATATGGAATTGGAAAGTCCTCTTTTGGCAAAGATTTTGCTGCTGCCATGGTCAGGATGACAAACATCCAGCCCAAAACGGGGCCCAATGGTGAGATCAGGAAGGCTTGTCACAAAGTTAATAGTTAATGTTTTCGGAAACAACTTCTTCATTTGCTGATGATTATATTGTACGTACGTAGTAGGCTTATATGCCATAGGCATGAATAAACAATAACGTCCATTAGTTCTGTTAAATGATCAGACTTATGGACGATATATAACATAGAGAAATGGGACTCGAGTCATCATGTGGTTTTGTCACTATATAAAAGCTTTGCTTCCATGGAGAATGTTTCTACTACATATATATATATATATATATGTAGTAGAAACATTCTCCATGGAAGCAAAGCTTTTATATAGTGACAAAACCACATGATGACTCGAGTATATATATATATATATATATATATTACCTTCAATTGCTATACTCCTTGCATAGTTACGTGCACATATATAATCATATATACAAAGATCAAGCTGAACCCCTAATCCTAGCTAGCTAGCTAGCAACTATATTTAATGTTCTTATCTATGTTTTCAAATTATAATTGAAGAGGGAAAAAAAACCAAATCCAAAATAGAATTTGATGGTGGTGCATATGCCTTAAATTATAAATGGGCGATTTCAACTCTATTCGGAACCCAACACGTTTACTGAAGAAGCTTAACAAAGAAGAATAATCGGATATAAGTGGTATATATGGTGAAGAGAAAGAGGTAGAGCCGAGTTGAATTCAACATCACTCGATCCATAAGTTTCTATTTGCCGCCAACAAAATTACTAATTGCCGCCAACTTTTTTTTTACAAAAAATCAAAAATAAAAAACAACATCTAACTATCACCCGTCGACCACCGCAGGCATCATCGCCGGCAACTGTCACTCGCCGCCGACCACTTCAGAAAGATACTGGCCTTAATTCCCATCGTTTTTCCCTAATTTTCCGGCATGTTTCCGATTTCCCGGCATGAGTATTTCAATGATGCAAACAATTGTTGTTACTGGAAGTTTGAACGATTTGGTCTCTAAGATGACGTCGTAAGAGGATCGGATGGATCGAGGTAGAACGTTGGTGGTTGAGGAAAAGGGTTTAGGGTTTGGGACGGGAAATAGATGCATGTTCATCTTTTTGTTGTTGAATTTGTTACTACCGGTCGAGTTGGTTCTTCTTCCTGTTGAATTTTCTTATTCGTCAATTAAACAAAATTTACTTCTAAATTTAAACAATAAACATAATCATTTCTAAATTTAAACATTATACATAATTTATTTCTAAATATAAATGATAAACCTTATCTATTTCTAAATTAAACTATTAATAATCACAATGTAAGAATTACAGTTATTAAGCATAATTTATTTATAAATTTAAACACTAAATCCCTAAATTTAAACACTAAACATAATCCATTTTCAAAATTAAGCTCCAAACAAAATTCAATTCTCAGTTTAGACACTAAGAAAAATAATAATTTCTTGGTTTAGACACTAAACACAATTCATTTGTGAAAGTGAATTTTAAATAAAAATAAAATTTTTAAAGTTGGCGGCAAATAGTAAAGAAGTTGGCGGCAAATAGCATGCCTCTTAAATTATGAGCTAGAAAGGAATGTATCAAATGAGCTATTTCAGCTCATGAAAGGCAGAAGAAAATTTTTAAGGTTGAAATCAAGAGAGCACTGCTTAAAGAAGTGAGAACTCGTGCTACTTTCATATACCAGTGAGATCAAGGCAGAAAAGGAGCACTATCACCTCTCTGCTTGATGCTCGGGGAATAGAGTTACCAAGGTTGAGGAGATGTGCATTGTACGTAGTTGCTGACTTCTATAATGCTTTGCTTGGCAGAGTAAATCATGAAGTAGTAGCATGTGGACTTCTATAAGAGTATTTTCATGTCCCATGTTAAGTATCCAACCGAACGACGATACCTAACTCGGTGATCATACTTCAGTATTGATTCAGAACGGCGATACGTAACGCGGAATTCAAAGCTCAAGTTGAGACTCCCCATTGTGAGGGTACCCATTGTTAGTAAGAAATGCTAGTATTTGCGCCAATTAAACCAAGGTAGGGGCCCCTTATAAGATAAAAGATGCAAGTTACTTGGCAACAAAACAAAAGTTTTTTTTAGGGTGTCAAATAAAAATAACTCCCACATTTTGAGTATTAATGTTAAAGGGTGGAAACAACAACATTTCCACAATTGTTTTTCTTCGAGGTGAACGCTTAAGGAAAAACCCTTAAGTGCTTCAAGAGTTTTAGTAACGACATAGAATGACCTCAACCATCCGTGATCTCTCCATCCGACCAGCCGAGCACGTCGTCCTTTCAACTTCGTGGCCTGATGCCAAAGGTCACAGCCGCGATCTCCTGAACTTCGACCGCAAACTTGCATGGTCCTCCGGATATCTACAAATAGAGGGTTGCTCCCCTTATTTTGATGACTGGGAAGTTGCAACACCATAGGGAGAGGAACTATAGAGATAATTTGTTGCGTTAGAGAGGAAGAGTAGAAAAGGGAAAGGAGGAGCTGAAGGAGAAGTTTCTCTGCACAAGAAGGAGCTCGTATTCATATTTTCTTCCTTTATTTCTGCGGCTCTCCTTCGCAATGCCATAGGGTAGTAGCCTAAGATACTTGGGGCTTTGTCCCCCAAATCTTAATTAGGGTACTATGTGTAATTGAATGGGTATAGTTAATTTATGGTTAATTTGGGTTAATCTAGAGTTTCTAATGCTTCTTTTTTAGCTTGAGATGGATGAATGCATGTATGTCATGTTTAACCTAGATCAGTTATGGAAGAATGCATGGATATCATGTTTGTATCTTGGGTAATTTTAGGTTATAACTTGATTGTATGTGACTTCTTTTAGCTTACTTAGTTGACATGAGTCCTGGTTGGTGGACGATGTGACCATCCTCTACCAACTAGGAACTCACCTATTAATGTGGTCAGTAATGGGATAAATTCGAATTGGTATTCTATTACAGCCAGAAAGTTCAACTATAAAGCTTGCTCAGTTATATGTCACATGGAGAATGAATTTGAAAGTCTTACTTCTTCCAACACTACTATGATAATTAAATCCTCTATGTTAACCTGTTGCCACAACATGGTTGAACAAATTCTTTGATGCTTACAATATCTAGGCCAAATATTTAGTTGTCATTTGGATTGATGAGTTGGAAACCTTGATATTTGGTATCAATTACCACACAAATATCACATAACAGAATACTTGTTATTTGATATGTGATATTTGGCATCAAATAACGTGTTTGTGTTATTTGAAAAATACTTGACCCCCTCCAACTAGTTGACAAACAACATATTTGTGTTATTTTGCAAACACCACATCCAAATAACACACTCTTGTTTTTTCCATCCAAACATTTTTTGTTATTTGAGCCCAAATAACACCCCCAAACAATCAATTCAAATGACTCCTCAGACACACATACACCTAAGAATATAAATGGAAGATAAAAAATTTCCAATAGAGGCATAATTGCACCTCTTATGAGCTAGTGCCAAGCAAAACCCTTGCACATAAGCCTCACAATTTACAGTCTTGTTTTCATTCACATTAATCTAAAATTTTAACTTTTTCACATTTTATACACATAGGTATTTATGGTACATCTAAAGAGGACTTCTACTATAGTCTAAATTATTGATGTTTCAAAGTATAAATTAAAATTGTACTATAAAGTTAAAGGTAATAGTTCAGTTTGTACCACACAAAAATTTGTACCTTTCTATTATGGTACAAATTCAATTTGCACCTTAAGATTAAAGTACACATTCAGTTTGTAGCATAAAATAATTTCTACTAAAAAAAATGACATTAGTACAAATTAAACGGAATATGCACCATAATGTTAAAGGTACCAATTCAGTTCTACCACAAAGAAATTTGTAAGAAAAGTTATAGGTATAAACTAAAATTTTACCATAACGTTAAATGTACCAATTCAATTTATACCACAAATATATTTGTCTGAAAAGATATATATACAAACTGAATTTGTACCATATATAATTTCAGGTTATCCAAAATGCAGATTCTACAACGTATTTTAAAATTTCTCACATTTAAAACAAGTCTCGACTTTGCATAAGAAAATAAGGCTCGGATTAAATGAGATAAAATTTGGTCCAGATAAAATGGAAATTTCTTAAATGTAAAATATATTATTATAGCAAATGCGGATAATTTAGTAATATTATAAGTAATAAGTAAATTTTTATAAAGCAATAAATATTTTTCTTTAATTGATTTGCCAAAATGGAAATGTAGTAAAAGTATTTTTTTCCAACAACAATCTTGATGTTTATCTTTTCATTGAATCAACTATAAATACTTATGTATACTGAAATTCTAATTACACACAAAAAAACAATTTGAGCATATATCAAAAGAAAATATGAAGCGGATATTTTGTGTTTGTTCTCTCGTCTTCTTCCTCCTCTTTATAGGAACAACATCATCAGCTAGGATGAATAGCGAATGGCAGCCAATACCAAACCTCCAAGACAAGCACATCATCGACATTGTGGAATTCGCAATAAAGTATATGGATAAAGCATTTGGTGGAGCTGACATAAAGCTGGTGAGTATTGACAAAGGGGAGTTCCAAAATAATCCAAACTAGTTTTCATTGCCCGCGCTCTGCGCTGGGATTAGTGGTATATGGGTGGTATACATTTTGTTGTTTTATGTGATCATACAATATTTATCACTACCAAGCACTTCTACTATGATTCAAATTCTCTAAGTTTGCGGTCCTTGTCGGGACTTGTTTGAATAAACAAAATAGCATGGTTCTTTTCAACATGGCACTTGTTTGAATAAACGAAATCTGTAGGGTACTCTTTGACATAGCACATATAGTATCGTCAGGAATGTGAATCTAAAGCAAGACTCTGCAAGTTCAGTGATATACAAATTTGATGAGTGGTCAAAATAATGTATCAAATTTGCTACTGTACATCATTATCTCGGAAGAAAATGCGTCACTTCTTACACATTATACACCAATTAAGAATAAACAGAGGCACGAAATGTATATTCATTAGACCAAC